AATACAAGGGGGACAAGACACTTTCATCTGACTACAGGGTAAACTAAGCAAGATCAACACCAGACCTGATCTCCCCTAGTTCCATTTATTGTAGAACCAGAGAGATCTGTCCTTACTATGGTTTATCCTCAGCATGTTCCTCACCCCAAGGCAACAAATCACCTTTTTAGTAGTAAAAATAAAGTCTTAAAGCCTCCAAACCATATTTTATCTCCTTCATCTAATTCAAGGGAAACCATGTCTCTTTTGCTTTACTACTCGGAGTCAGTTTTCCATTGTTTCTCCTCTCATCCTCTCTACCTGCTGAGCTCCCCTTTTCAAGTCCCTCACCTGGTGCCTGCTGCTACTGTGTGGACTCCTGTGCTCCCAGTGTTTTCTCTTCAGCCACCAGTCTGCTAAGGGCTGCCAATGTCCTTGAGAGTATGTACATGTTCAGAAAAAGACCCCTGATCTTCTGCTCTCCTTGTGCCAATAGCCTGCAGCTGAGCTAGTTCCTGTACTTTGCTCTCCTGCCTTGGAACACTGGGAGCACAACGGAGAGACACCCCAGGTGCAGGCTACCAGCTGGCAGTACTGCAGCAATCCTAGCTCCTCCTCCATCTCTTCCAAATAGGCCCAAGAAATCAAGGACCTAGTCAGGAGCTTTATGGGGCTGCCTCACTGGTCATTTATCTAGGATTGGGAAACACCCAGTCATGAAAAATGAGGTTGAAGATTGTGACAGAAGCCACTGAATGCTGATACCTGTCATGTGACAGGAGGTAATGGTACTTGTAATCCTAAATAGCCACATCCCACAAAAATTACTTCTACACCTTAGTTCAAATGCTTTGATTCAATTAATTTTGCATATTGGCTTCTATTCTACCCAGGAGAGTGCACAAAACACAAGCAAACTCTCCCTATGCCTGAATAAGTGTGTTTGTGCCTGAAAGCTTGTAAAGAACATTTTTTTCCAACTATTTAGTTAGTTTAACAAAAGATATCACATTTACCCAGGGAACCTTTTGTGTCTTGATTCAGTTAAACAGCCAGTACCGGCCACACAGATACCCTGCTGATTTTCACATGTTCTCAACCATCTTGCTGCTCACCTCATCCAGCACTTGAAGATCACTGCTGAGCTGCTCTGCAAATGCTGCAGCATTGTTCACAATTGGCTCATACTCTTCCATCAGTTTTAGCATGTCAGCTGTTTCCTTTGGTGTCATCTCTTGGTACACACAGTGCTCTTCCTGGTTCTCTGCTTCTGCACTTGCCTTTGCATTCTCTTGGGGACCTTGTTTTCCTGCATGCACAGGGGAGATATATGAAGAACTGTTTTTATTATTTCTTTGTATTAGCCTTTCCCTTCTGGGAAGTCATGCCAAATCTAGTTTGGGTCACAAGGGCAGTGAATATAATGGTCTCAGTTTAGTGCCTATTTTATGTTTAACTCCAGCACAAGAAAATCATGGAAGGTCTCATAGCTGCCAAGCACTGAGGAAATGAAGTTTAAGCCTGGGATAGTGATGCAGTGCTGCAGATCAAAACAGAAGCACATGTGCACAGGAAGTCTAAACTGAATGAAGGGTGCGCCCTTGCCTGCTGCCACCTCTGGGGAAGGGTCTACATGTTGCTGTATGGAGACGTTGCTACAGCACCATGCTTTAGTACTTCCTTTTAGAAGTACTAAAGCACAGTGCAGGTGGTTACTGCACTGTGTGCACAATGGACAGTTAGATTTTGCCGCTATGTCATTGTAGCATGCCGTATGTCGCTGTAGCATGTCGTTTGGCGATGTAGTGCATCGCTGTGTCTCGATAGGGTGACATGTAGATAAGCCCAATGTGGAGCTATCTGCAGGGCATTTGTGGGAATCTCAGAGATCGGCACCCCCTAATACATTCAAATATGATGACAGACATGTCCAACATAAACCCCCCACCTCATCAATATATCTTGACAGGCAGAGAAACTGGAAACATTCTCCCAATATGCAGCTGGTCTTTTTCTGAGCTGATACATACCAACCCATACATTACAGACAGGCCATTAGAAGCAAGATAAACTACCCATTTTTCATCCAAGCCCAGTGCTGTCTCTATGTGGCAAGAGTCAAGGAAATATATCAGCCTGCTCTATAAATTCTTCCTTAAGCCTGAAGTCCCTGGATGAGTGATTCCTATTCTTTTGTCTCTCTCTCTCTCTCTCTTGCATTTCAGATTGGTCACTCAGGCTTGCGCCTCCTGTCCTTTACTCTTTACCCTACTCAGAAATCTGTTCCCTTGTGTGAAAAACAAAGCTGTCACTTAGAGTAATGTGGCAGGCTTGTCGCTTTTGCCTAGCAAGCCAGACTTGGAGAAGGACACTTTGGATTGGTGGAACATTTCCACCAATCAGGTAACAGCTGGGAGGGGCTTGCCCTGCCCCCGCTCTGAGTGGGGGGGGGGGGGGAAAGAGCCCCTGGACCTGATTGAGGACTGTGCTTTGCAGGTCCAGTAGACTTCAGGGCGAGGCCTCCAGTGTAAATAAAAGCCCAGCGTGCTCGCTGGGGAGATGCAGCAAGGGATGGCAAGGAGAGAGCAGCTCCAGAGAAGACTGTCATTGGGATCCCACCTGAGCCTTGACAGTGTATGGATAGGCAGATGAGAGTCGGCCTTGGGATCAGCTCAAGACTGCTCAGGCCTCACATGGTGCGCAGGTCAGTGCACAGAGAGTTGACCTCGAGAGCAGCTTGAGGCTGCTTAGGTTATCCCCAGCTCTAGGCCGGGTAGCCGGAGCCCCACAGTGTGACTCAGCATTAAATTAAAAGAGCCCTGGTGCCCAGAGCAGGGCCCAGGAAGGGGAAAGACCCCCTGCATGAGGCTGGGGAACTAGAACCAGTAAGGGCTCGGCTCCCATAGGAACTCTGTGGGTGCACAGTGTGGGGCACAGGGCCATCGGCAGAAGCCCTGGTGGGAGGCCCCAGGATGGTGCACCAGGTCATCAAGAGGAACCAGAGGCACTGCAGAGAGAGGCCCTTGCAGGACTGGCCACTGGGGGACGAGCCTTGTCTGCTTCAGAGTGGGAGCAAGAGTTGCTGGGGAAGCAGGTCCCACAGGGGAGGCGGCCTTGGGAGGGAAGGTCTGCAGCCTTCACCGTCCTCCACTGTTGGGGGGGCATGTTCCCATCCCAGGGCCCTAAAGGGGAGCGGCTCCAGGGAACACCCTGTGGGGTGCTGAGTGCACCTCATATTTTGTGATTGATGTTTGCTTCGTATTGTTGATGTTAATATAGTTATGGGTATTCCTTATGGGGGGTTATATTGGTTTACTTGTTTTCTTTACCTTTATATGTTTACTGCCTATTATCTGAACTTACTTGTATTGTTGCCTGTGTACGTTTATTGCATTGCTACCTCAGCTTACCTGGGTTTATCGGAGTTGATGCTTATATGTGTTTACTGCGTTGATTTACCTGTTCTAGGGTGTTAATGATCATCTGTGCAGGGGGGTTAATTATTGCCTGTGCTGTGGATCACCTGTACTGAGTTCCCAATTACCTGGTCTATATTTTGCAGTCCCTCAAAGTGGTGTGATGTGTTGATGGCAGATTATTGTATATGGTGTTGTGTACCAACTGTATTGTAAATATTTAATGTCTCTTATTCATATTTATTTTTGTATAGCAATACATTTGTATATAGTTAAGTGCTTTGTCCCAGCCTGGCTCTATAGAGAAAAGAGGGAACTGCTCCCTGGTGGCAGGCCCCTCTCATAGCACTCTTGCCTGACCATCCCATCCCTTCCCTTCCACCTGGAGACAGAGCACACCCCCGGGTATATCCGGGCTACAGGAAAATGAACTTTGACATAATTTGAACTTTCTACCAAACTAACAACAAGATGCAGAGGCAACAAATATGATTTGAGGGCTGCAACCAGCTCATTTTGTATTTGGCAGATGATTGCAGTCAAACCCTAACAACAACAGCCTCCTTATCCCTCCCCTAAATTACCTCCATTCTGGCAATTTTTACATGGAGTGTAAAGGTCAAGCAGGCAAAATATATCCAGTATTAATTAGCTGTGTGATTCTAGCTAACTGTTTTTTTTCCTCTGGCTCTAGCTAACCAAACCCTCTCATTAATCAAATGTTGGCCATATTTGTTGTTGTCTCCCCTGTGACTTAATCATGATTTTTGTGGAACTTGGGCTTCTCCATGAAGTCCCAGCTCTTGGAAGAAAGTGATTAGGAGAAAATCCCAGCTGCCATTAAAAGTATAAAGTAAGATTCTAGCCTTCATGGTAGCAAAAAAAAAAAAAGGCTGAAAATGTGACCCTAGTGTAATG